AATAGTGCTCTCTCTCTCTCTCTCTCTCTCTCTCTCTCTCTCTCTAACAGGTGGATCTCTTCTCCTTTTTTTTTTTTAACATCAGGTGCACCACAGGCTCTTCTCCAAAGCTGTGTCACATTTGGAGCCTTCTCATGTATCATCGAGGGGCTGAATAGACAACAAACTGCAATGGCACTTCCTTCCACTGGTTGGAATGGAGGTATCCCTAATACCTTCTCTCGTACTCTCCCTGTTCTTCCTCCCTTTACACTGCCACTACCAAACAACATCGTTGAGGGCTTCTCCTCCTTTTGTCAATCTATGTCAAAGCCTGAGAAGCGCAGTCGCCATTGATGAGGGTTTTAAGAACAATTGGATTTTTGAGCGAGTGGTACCTGTAAATTATTTCTTTGTAAGTGTGAGAAGACATTCATGAGCGATTTTCTTATTGACAAGAGTTTTGGAAGTCCCCTTTGAACGGAGTTCGGCATTAGTGTTTTGGTTAAGGGAGAGAGAGAGAGAGAGGGTTCAGTTGATTCTAGTGTTGAGAGAGAGAGAGGGTCAATTGTTTCTAGGAGGGATTTGGAAAATGTCGGGTTGGACAGAGTCACCTGGTCCAACCCGGGAATCAGTTCCATTTCAGTTATGTGTTTATATAGGAAAATGAGAGTTTAGAAGGGAATTGTCGATTTTGCAGGCGATTTGCTATACTAAAATGGCGATCTGGACCTACTTTTGGTTGGTTCAGTGTTTTTTCAAGTGGTTTTTCGCCGGTTCTTTATTTTTTATTTTTTCTGCACAGTTAAACGGCAATCCGGAGTGCCCATTCACCAATTTGGGCTGATTTTTGGTGTGCCCCATGCGGGTCGCCGATCTTTTTTTTTTAAAATCACTGGTCTCTAGTGTTGTTTCTTATTGGCATTTGAATAATTTTAGTGGCCCACATCTAAGTGGGGCGTGTATTTTCTCCACTGAACATCAAAGAAATGGGAATAAGCGATTAGGGACGTTATGTGTTTGCGTAGCCGCCAAAAAAGAAGATAAATTCTTGTTATGGTCAGCGTTACATGGACACCGGTGTCGTATTTAGTTCGAGTACCTAGTATGTTGGCTTAAAATCTAGTACGGTACGTGTTCATATGTTTATATACACGTGTGCAGACACACATGTATGACATATTTGATACATAAGTACAGTTACTTTCAATTTTTTTCGGTGAATAATTAATTTAAAATTAGAAGCTTGCAATTCAAATTGCATATAGAGTAATTTACATTTTGGAATTATCAATCACATTTTAATTTAATAAATTAAATCATTTTTATGTTAGATGGTATTTTTTAAAAAGTTTATATGCACCCATATAAAATATGCCAATAAATTAATTCATAAGGATATGCATATAATAATTATAATAATATATTAGAAAAACTGTTTACACTAAGACTTTCATGTAATAAAGGGCACACATAAAGGTATGCCTGTCCTTAATTGTTTCCTTTTAATTATGGAAAAAGTTTATATTAGTGGGAGGTTCTTAACAAACAAATTAAAGCGCATCTGAAAAATTCATTAGAAGAGGTGCTTTAATGCCCAAAATTCCTCAACTTGATCATCTCAACTTCAAGATGTACGAACACAACAGGATTTCAAGTTTTGGAAATAGTGAATCTTGTAATGTATTTTGGACCGTCAATTTTTAAAAATTTCAAGTGTTTATAGATATGCTCAATCTAAACTATTTTTTAAACTTTAAATTTTATAATTAGATATGAAAGTAAATTTTCATGCCATTACAAAGATTTCCATTATTGAAATGACATCTTTCCACACCCTTTAATTATTGCTTTCTAGATAATAAATGCACCATTAGGCATTTGTTGGATTTGACTTTAGTTAGTAGATATAATTAATAAAAATAGAAGTAATATATTCCATTGTTATTTATGTTTTAAATGGTTGAAATGGTGGTTATTAGTTATAATGCCACCTCAAATGGTCAGGGTTTAAGTCCCACAAATGCACTATCAATATATGTTTTCACATTATGTGTCGATGTTATAGACACACTGTATCCTTTTTGTTGTATACCGGAAGTGTATTTATGGGATTTGAACTTAGGACTATTTGAGATACATGCCATCTATTTAAAATAAGGAAATTAAAAAAAAAACCCAAGACCACACTTTTGATGCATTTTACCTTCAACTTAACTTTTTTTCACTTTTTCCCTCAAAACAAATTTTCTAAAAGAAAAAGATTATTTTTTTAAGATAGAAATGCTACAAATCATTTTAGCCAGATTTGATGTTGACTTTTGGACCCCAGTGGCCCATTACCAAAGCGCATCATCACATTGTCGGAGTGTCGGGCTGTCTTAAGACAACTACCAGATCGAAATTGAGTACTGCTGGACCGCCTTTTACATAGTGTCGGAGCTATGGAATCCAGTAACTCTACTGCCAGACCGTCCTTTGCAACTCTTAGACCACCGCTCCGTGCAATTTTCGAACCGCACTTTACACAATCCTGAGCCTTACTACTGGATCGTACTTTGCACAATTCCAGAGCGGGCGGTGTGGTCGAGGTAAAAGTAAGGGAAGGTAGTTTAAGGTTTTTTTTTTTTTTTAAAAAAATTTTTTGTTGGGGTATGCATAGAAAGTGTATTTTGGGAAAAAAAAAAAATGTAAAAGAAAAGATTAGGTTGGAGGTAAATTGTAGTTTTGGGTTTTTTTTTGTAATTTTTTCTTTAAAATATAAGTAACTATAGAATATGTGTTTCTAATATGTTGATTAATTGTATCTACTAACTAAAGTGAAATTGTAGAAATGCCTAATGGTGCATTTATTATCTAGAAAGCAATAATTAAGAAGTAACAATTGACCAGTGCATATCTTTATGCACGACCTTTAGTGCGTGAAAGTCTTTATGGTAAAGAGTTCTTTGAATATATTATTATAATTACCATATTGATATTCTTATAAATAAATTTATTGCCATATTTTTTATGGGTCCATATGGACTTGAAAAAATACCATCTTTTATAAATGATTTAATTTATTAAATTTCAATATGATTTATAACCATTTAAAAAAAATAAAAAATAAAATGTGATTTATAATCCAAAACATAAATTACTCTATGTAATTTGAATTTGCAAGGTTCTAATTTAAAATTATTATTCACCCCAAAAATTTGAAATTAATTGATGTACTTTTGTAAGCATCAAAGATGTTTTACGCATGTGTGTCTGTGCATATAAATTTAGGGACATGTTGAAGCTGTAATGGGTTTTGGGTCAATGAACGAGATATGCTATACTCATAATAGACTCGACATCGTGTCAGAGTCCGCATAACACCACTTCCACTATGCAACAAAAAGGACGCTGCCTGTCTAAAACATCAATACATACTGTGAAAGTATTAATACGGCATGTTGTTGGGATGGTAGGCAATACAAACAGTTGTCGATCACATGTCGACATGTGTCAATGCGCAGTGCTACAGAGAATATGGTGTGGTTATGGCCTTAATTTCTCTGAGCTCCAATTTTGTTGATGGAGGGGAGAGTAGGACATCTAAGTTACGCCTTGTCCGTCCTTATCGGTTACATTCTCTCCATCACTTACCCATTCATTCATTCATTGGAGATGATATACATATATTTATTGGATGATGATGATGATGAGATGGTCATGAGTTTTCAAGAATGTTGTGTATCATTGCATGTTCGACAAAAAAAAAAAATTAATCGCTAAGCGTGGCCTTATGATAGAGATAAACGTGGCCCTCTTTCTACACTCGAACATTTATGTAGGAGCGAGGTGGGGATATAGTAACCGTGTGGCTATCTGTGAGAGAGTATGTAGATAAACATTGTATGTGCATAGAAAAACAAGAGAAAAGGTACAACACCAACAAATTTATATGGTTTAGGTCGAAGCTTTATATTTATCGATCTAAATTTTTAACTGGCTATATTTTTATTATTTTTTAATAAAAAATTATACAAATATGTGGTAGGACAATCACAATGGATTTTAGGATAAAAGAAAATAATATAAGCTTATCATCAATAACCAATTTTGGTTTATGCGGTACTCGGGTTGAGGTTTTTCGTGCACAGAGGTTTTCTTTTTCTTTTACACGGTACTCGGGAGGATGTTTTCTTTTACGCGGCACTGGGGCAGAGGTTTTCTTTTTCATGGCATTGGGGCAAGAGGTGGTATTTTTTTTTTGAGCAAAATTGCACTTGGGGCCGGACGTTCTTGTGTGCGGTACAACACTTGGGGTCGGAGGTTTTCTTTTACGCCGCACGACACTTGCGGCCAGAGGTTTTCTTTTGCGTTACACGTGGGTCGGATGTGGAGTGGTACAATACTTGGGGCGGGAGGTTTTCTTTTACGCCGCACGACACTTGGGCCAAAGGTTTTCTTTTGCGTGGCACGTGTGTCGGATGTTTTTGTTTTATATGGCACTTGGGGCAGGAGGTTTTTCTTTTGAGCGACACTACATTTGGGGCCGGAGGTTTTCTTTTTCGTGGCACGACACTTGGAGCTTTTCTTTTGCTCTGATACCATGTTAAAGTTCGAGAGAGCATGCACACAGATATTGTCTTTGTGTGGCACAGTACTTGGGGCCAAGTTCGAGAGAGCATGAGCGGATATTGTTTTTTGTGTGGCATAGTACTTGGGGCCAAGTTCGAGAGAGCATGAGCGGATGTGGAGTACTAAGTGCTTTTGGGTTGTAGCAAGTAAGTATTATTTAAAGGGATTGTATGCTATGAGACCATTTATTTTTTATACAAGAAAGTCACAACCCCTTTTAGCCATTGGATTTCAATAAATGAAAGTTGTCACAACATTTGAGAATTTTCAATAATGATTGTGACCTCCTTATATCAAAAGCAAACAGTCTCATTGTAAACAAGTACGTATTTAAAATATACATTTTTATATATCAAATTAATAAAATACATAATGAACAGTTAAGATAGGCAGTTTCCAGCTTTCTAAATACCAAACAAGTGAAAATACAGCACTACAGTTTATCAAGCAGGGTTCCCATATTTCAAGCCACCATTATCAAGCAGGGAGGGGGGATAATAAGCGTGTTTGTATATTAAGAGAGAAAGGAAAGGGGATTTTAAGTGAGTTTGTGTTATTGTTAACAAACAAGGGGGTTCATAAATGAAAAAGTTTTTATAAGTTTCCAACTTTAAAATGTACAATTAAAGTGCACCTAAAAAAATCCATCATAAAAAGCTGTATTGAAGTTGGAAAACTCTATGATCGATCATCTCGACGTCAAGATGTATGAATACGACAAAAAAACAAAAGATTTTGAGTCCCAAAGATAGTGTCTTACAACATATTATCTAGATTATATATTTTCAAGATTTTTATGTGTATATAGATTTACTTGATTTGAACTATTTTTGGAGTCTAACGTTTTTATCACTAGAGGGAAAAGTGGACTCTCATACCATCCTAATAATTTTGACACTAATTTATATTTTATGATAAAATTTGATGGTGAATGTTACTTTGATTGTTTAAGGTATGCGACCTTATACAAAACTACACCATTCATCAAAATACCCTATTTAATATTTTTGCCTATTTGCAACTAGTTCAACTCATGACCATGTGTTTTTCTACGGGTATCTTAAAAATAAATTAAAATATATGGGCAAAGTGTTTAATTATTTCTTCTAAATAATTTGATAAAAATCGAGTTTCTATAATGCCTAGGCCTTATGAAAAGTAAAGCCTCACCTCAAAATCTTTATTTGGAAAACACTTTAGGCATAAAATATCCCTACGATGGATCTAACATTTCAGGCATAAAATATCCCTATGATGGTTCAAAAATGTATTTTAATCATACATTATCAAATTTATAGGTCAAAAAATGGTATCTAAAATGTATTTTAATCATACATTATCAAATTTGTAGCTCAAAAAATGGTGCTGATTGTATGGATATACCATCATGTAAAAATAAATGGTCTAGATAATGTATTACAATTTTATATTTTTTAGAGCTTCAAAATTTTTTTTTTTGTTTTTCACAACCATAATGAGAGGTGATCGATTTAAAGGTTTCCCGAGAATTGAATTATAATTTTTGGTGAATTTTGGGGTGAGATTTTATTTTTTTCCTTTTGTACTTTTTCCTAGGATAAGCTTCCAAAAGTATGGTTCGATAAGTAGGTGCATTTTGTGTATTAGAGGAGAGAGAGAGGGGGGTGGTGGTGCTTAAGAGAGACAGAGAGAGAGAGAGAGAGAGAGCTGGCAGACAAGGAGTGCGTCTGAGAGTCTATTAAGGACTATTTGCCCGTGCCTATGAGAGAGATAAGTGGATGGTCCTGTGGGACCAAGCGGTATATTTGGTCTAACGGTGAAAAGGCCGGCAGAAAATGTTAAAAACTTGGTCACGTGAAAGACACTATTTTCACCTGAGACCAATTGCGCAGTATCATCCCAGGACACCACCTTACAGACACCTTTCTATGGATACACACTAAGGACACCACAATGATGTCTTTCATACTTTAGAAACTTAAATATATCAAAATTTCTTAGATTTTTACTATAAAGTAATTTATATCATTTAAAATTATATATCTCTTTTCTTTAAACATTGTAAAAAGATAGTCTCCGAAATGTTAACTTTTTTATATTTTTAACACTCGGGGTCAGATACAAATATTAATATAGGTATTAATATGTATGTAGCATAGCTAATAGGAATATTTACTCGGAGCTCGCTACATTTGAAATGCTCCCCTTTTGCAGCCGCCCTTTTATCTTTTTAAAATTATCAAAATTAGTCAACTTATAAAATTGAAACTAGCGAATGACAAACAAGCCCTTCACAACTTGGGAGGATGATTGCCGAAACTTTAGGATTTTAAGTATAAACCAAAACGAAGCGAAACCTGGTGCTATCACTTTCGGGCAGCTTCAGTCAAATTTGGATATGCTTCAACCACAAAAAAAAATACTATATAAAAGTATATTTATTTATTTATTTTATAATTTATAATTTTAATTTTTTGTATATATTTTATATGTAAATATTTAACTTATTTATATTAAATTTCAAAAAAAATTCGAAGTTTTCTCCCGAATCTACCGAAACACCGAATTGCTTCATTTTTTTCACCAACCGAAAAAAACTCCAAAGTGAATCTCACGACATTGCACCATCCTCGGGGAGAGAGAGAGATTGAAGATTAAGGATAAAATAGTATCTCCAATCCATTGATAAATATGACCGTACCATATTTATGTAAGAATAGGAAGGACGATTAAAGCAGTTAAGAGAGTTGCAGGACTTTGAAAATTAAATTACTCCATTTCTTTTTTGGGTGCAGTTCGCATACGGATCCTTCCGTCGTAGCTGTAGAGGTAAGGTGTACTTTCGAATTTTATCATGGTATATAATATTGATGTAAAATGTTCTTAAAATTACCTCAAAATCTATTTTTATATCCAACTATAAAACTTTAAATTTAAAAAATAGTTAAAATCAAATAGATCTATATATGAAAATATTGAAAATGGACGGTGTAGATAATATGTTGTAAAACGCACTATTTTTGGGACTTAAAATCTTTTTATTTTTCATGGTCATACATCTTGATGTCGAGAAAAGGGGTTTTCAACACTAAGATTACCTTTTCGGATGGATTTTTGAGGTGCATCCGTAGTTCTACATTATAAGGTTGCATCCTTATATAAACGTTTTCTTTCTTTTAATACTTCAATTTCAGAAAACCCTAGAATCTCATCAACAGCAAAAGCAAAAAGCTCACATCTCTTCACTACCATTACTGCTAACCTGCATCATCATCTATGAATATGCATTATAGGAAAAGGTTACAACCACACAAAGCATCTTCCTTTCATCGCACGTTCCATGTCTCTTATTCTCTCCTACTTCCTGCTCCTCCCATGGCTCTACTTCAACTTACAAAAGCCATAGAGTTTTTCCCCATTCTATATGGAAATGGCAAGTATTCACCGGTTTCATGAACCAAACCAGGAATGGCTTCAACTATGCAATTGGAATTGCAAGGTGTGGACCTCACAATGCATATCTAGGGTTTCAAAATGCTGTTGAAGATGGTGGAAAGGCCGAAGAATGGGAAGAAATGGAAGGAGTTGGAGACTTGTGTAAATCATTGAGAATTAAGAAAGAAACTCATAAAGAATATCCAGAGTCCTTGTTGGTGTGGAAGAAAGAGAGGAAATGTGAATGTCTAAGGCTACAAATCGCAGGAGAAAATGGATCAGTTAAAGTTGTCTTACTAGTTAACGATGGTGAAAAGTCATGTTTAGAGTTGAGATTGTAGCTCAACCTGACAGTCCTCATAAGCAATTGCACGAATGTAAAGATCCCTGTACAGCCTTTCAAACGAGGACAGCTGTTATACAATATGCCAAGGTCTCGTTTCTGCAAAATGGAAATGGTAAAAGATATAATGTTTCTATTTTGCTGCTAAAACATGGTAAACATGCTCATTTAAGCATAGCAGAGAGTGCATGCAAAAACTGCACAGAACCTGTGAAATACAACAGGTATGATAGAAATTCAGGTAAAATGAAGACACAGGATAACAAGGCACAAACAAAGATAGGAAGTTATGAGGATTGGTTTTTCTGCTTAGGAAATGTAGTGAGAAGTATCAATAGGTCAGGAATGGCAGGGGATATGAAAGACAAAGAAATTGCATGTCCAGACTCCGGAAATGGTGAACATTTGCTTCAAGATCTGAAAACCAGACGAAAAACCTGCAAAATTTCGTCAGGGACAGAAGAGACTAGTCTCAAGGATCCATGTACTTCTACAAGAATAGCAAAACCAACAGGCAAAACCGATAGTACTTTGGTGAAAACCAACAGAAATGTTGATTCAGAAAATAGAAAACGAGAGCATGAAAATGAAGGGAAGTTTAAAAGAAATCGAAGGTATCTTCATCAAGACTACAACAAAAATGGGTATAAAGGATTCAATGGAAGATTTTCGAGATGCTAACGGCTCACATCCAAGGTCAAGAAGCTGACAGAACTAACAAGATGTCCGTAAATTCAACAATCACCGACAAAAAAAGGTACAGATCAAAGAGAAACAAGAAAGGAATCAATGAGTATAAACCCTGAAGATTTATTCCGAAGTCCAACAGTGGCAGATACAAAACCAACAAAGAACTCACTCTCTGGATTAAGCCTGAGGCTTCAACTTCAGCACACATTCGTAACCAATTTCATGAACAACTCTGGTATTGGTGGCACTGATTTAATCAGCTGGATCTCTTCAGGAGAGGGAAGTGATGCTGGCAATTACATAGTGAAAATAGGTTTTGGCATACCTGTAAATTCTCTTCATCTCTCTATTGATACAGGAGTGACATCACCTGGATCCAGTGCACCCCATGCCCTAATAGCTACAATCAATCTGATCCAATGTTTGCACCTTCTCTCTCCTCCTCATACTTACCAATACCCTGCAACTCCACCCCATGTGCAAAACTCCATAACCTCTCTCCATGTTCCTTAAACTCATCCTGCAACTACAACATCACATACGCAGACAAATCCAGAACCACAGGTGACCTTCCTCAGAAACTGTAACTCTAATTTCACCAGGAGAGGACCCAATTAAAATCCCTGGTTTCACATTTGGCTGTGGCCATAACAACATGGGTTTGTTCGATGGAGCAGCAGAGATTTTGGGCTTGGGCCAAGGCTTCAATGGGTTTCCTTCACAGACAAAATTGGCATTTGGGGGGGTGTTCTCTTATTGTTTCCCTTCGATTTCATCCACTATTCCTTCTGGTTCCATCCATTTTGGGCAAACAGAAATTTTGGATTATGATGTGAATTTCACACCATTATTGAAGAATGGTGGATCTTCTGGTTTCGGCCCAACATTATATTCCATTGGTTTGACTGAAGTTACAGTTGAGCTTGAGAACTTTAACGTTTCTGCAACTGTCTGGTGGACTCAGGAACTGTGGTATCAAGGCTTGAGAAGGAGGTTTTGAGATTATTGGTAGATGGCTTTAGGGAGGAGATGGGTGAAGGACTTGTGGTTTTGGATCCAACAGAGCCATTCGTACTGTGTTTTAGGGTTTCAGGGGTCGAAGAATTTAGGGTTCCTACTGCTACATTCCATTTTGGATTTGCAGATCTTCATCTTGGTTCACAGCAACTAGTTTATCCAGTTGGAGGGAACTCATGCTTGGCTTTTGGCATTGCTGAAGCAGGGAAATCAGTGTTGGGTAATTTTCAGTAGCAAAACGTGAAATTTGTATTTGATGTGCCAAATTCACGGTGGGGTATATCTGCTCTTCCTTGTAGATGATTTGGGAGTACAAAATTGGGATGTCAGGTTTTTAATTCTTACTTCTTTTTTTTCAGTTCTTCTTCCCAAATGACAGCGTAGCATTTCTCATGCAGTTTGGTATGTTCATTGGCTTCTTAGAGTGCTGGTTTTTTGGCAGTTTTGATTGTCTCAAGCAGTATCTTAAAACTCGCTGAGTCAGACTCGGAATTGGACAAGTCACTCGGACCTGGACAAGTCACTCTGACCGGGCAGAATGCCAGGTCCAAGTGAAATGCCCTGGGAACTCGTTCTGTCAAGTGAAATGCCCTGGGAACTCGTTCTGTTTCATCAGTTCCCAAGGTTCCGTTGTTATATCTTTTAAAGGCTCAACCGAGTCCAAATTGGACTCAATCGAGTCTGACTGGTGACTGGACCAGGCCCTGCCAGGTTACAGGGCAAGGCCCAAGCTTGAAAACACTGATCTCAATATTTCAGTCTCTAGGGGTTGAAGTCTATTTTCTGTGTGTTGGCGTATGTGTGTGTTTGTGAGAGAAAGAGAGATGGTTATTGAAAGTTAATAATAATACTGCTTAATGTAACCTTTCCACTTTGATATTATAATTCCTCTTACCATGAGGAACACCATAAAACTCTGCCAAGTAGTTCAATGTCTCCAAATTGTTGCTACACACTTTCCACAACGATTCTACCTCTCCTTTGGAGACAGTGCCCCATTGCTCACAGTCCTCAAGAAAGCCCAAGAGCTTGGAGTAGAAACCATCATAGTTGATGACAACAAATGGAACTGGAAATTCAGATCCTAGTCTTTGAAGTTGAATCAGAGTTAGCATTTCAAATACTTCATCGAGAGTGCCAATCCCACCTGGAAATACAATCACAGCAGTCCTTTCTGACTCCCTATTCCTGACAGCTGCATCAACTAAACCATGCTTTCTTGCAGAGAAGAACCTGCTTAACATGGTAATTCTCATAACCATTAGATGCTTGCCAATTGCATAAAAAACTGAAATTGTGACTGGATATTTTGATACGTTTCCAAAACCAGAGGGATTTAATTGAAGTATACTGCAGTCGAATGGGCTATGGAAAACATAGTCCAGGAGTCGTTGTTTTTGTTTAAAAAATCAGAGAAACCATATTTTTGTGAAATCATGAAAAAGAAACATTACATACAGTCTGTTTACAAATAAAATTATAAAAGAAAACAATAGTTTTTATTTTTTTTAAGATAAAAGAACTAAGAACTTTGGGAAATCATATGAAATCCATTTCTTTTTATTTGATTCAATGCAAAATATGAAGAGACAAAGATATTTTGGGGGATTTAAAGTTCGATATTCATCCAAAACATCTTAGGATCAGAGATCGGGCGACAAATGTTAGTCATATTGGGTTAAATTTCTTTTTCGGAGTTTATGATCTTGGACATGGTGCCATCAACCATGTGGTATTGGGAATGCTAATTATGCTATATTATCTGACTCTTTTGTGTTGTGTTGCACGTGTGAACGTGATTCTCAAACTATGGAATATTTCCTACCATTCAAATTCTTAATGTTCAATTGATATACATAGAACATATAATTTACTAGTTTAGTACATGCTTTTAAATGTAATTATGTACAGTGTATGCACTATGCACATATATGTATGGTTCGGTGCCTCAAGACTGAGGTGCCCCACCTACGTGGCCAGACTCCCTCCCTCCCCCAGGACGGCTAAGGTGCTTCCCAGCGCTTTTAAAACCTTGCCTAGTCATCTTTGGTCGAATTTTTCCCGAACATGTTCCGACAACATTAAGATTGAAGTTCCCAAGACTAGTGGGAGCTTATACAGAGATTTCCTCACATGTTGCCAGTGGGAAAAAGTATCATATATTAAACAGCATAAACATGTTCTTCTTGAAAAAACGAAGTGAATGTGTGTTTTTTTTTTTAAATACCTAGGAAACATGTCTTTTTTCTTTTTTGTAAATACCTAGAACTAGACAGACTGTTGAGCAGATTGCGAGCGAATTACAAAGTGAAATGTAAGAATTGAGACTCTCATTC